GCAGACAGACAAACAGAATTGGTGGCTGATGACCAGTTCTCCAAATCACAGTGTGAATTCTTCTTTTGGACACGCGCCATCACCACAAGTGTTTCACAAGTGTCTTTCATCAAGTCTTTCATTATAATCAACCGCAGACTGCCGCCACGTCACCACTTCCAGCGACGCTTGTTTATCATGCGCCTCACGTCGTCAGCTGAAATGGATTCCCAGCGGAGCAGCAAGACACAACTGCGCGACGACCGCCAGCGTTCAACCTACTTTTCTCCCTTTACGGCACTTTGTGGATTGTGCATGCCAAAAGAGCGTTTGGAATAAAAAAATGTTTTAAAATGGACAGGAACCATAATCTTAGAATTACAACACCAACGCGCTGTTTGATTGTAAACTACTGGAGATTATCCGTAGAGTCCATTTACCAACTGTGAGTACAGATTAAGAAATCTGTTCAACTTTAAAAGCTAATGCTAGCTAAATCAACGCTAACGTCAAACGCAACGAGATAGTCATCACTTGCCTTACCCATTTCTATAGACAATATTTTCGAAGCCATTTTCATTGTTTGTGCCAAATCTTGTGGGATTGAACAAAAAGCTCCGGCTATTTAATAGATATGACTTCATTGTTGCAATACTTTTCTATCGATGAAACACTGTTTGGCTTTAATTTTTTTTACCTGGTGAAAGGTGAAAGAGGGCCATAAAAGTTCACAGACATAGTTGACTAATTAGTCCTACAGAGATATTTTTTTATTTACCGCCTGTGGAGACATAACTGGACCTCTATGCCCCCCCCACCTCCCACCCCGAGGTTGGCAGCAGCAAAAGAGAGGAAAATAAAAACAAAAAATCAGAGAAAAGTTGAGGACAATTCTCACGAGGTGTGTAATTGGAGAATAAACAGAAGGGGGTTGGGGGTGAATGCAGGAAAGAAAAAATCGAGGTAAGCGCAACACAAACAGCATGGTGTCACTTCGGGCTTTTGAGAGATTTTTTTTGTTTTGTTTGTTTGATTCTCATCTCTGTGTATATATATGTGCGTGTGTGTACATATAGATCTATGTCTGTGGCTGTGTGTGGCACGCTCAGTCAAGAAGATGTGCAATCTGACCGGGATCAGGTGTGAAGAGAATTGCGGATGACTTTTGAAGAAGACATCGGGAAAGGAAGGATGTGTCTGCCGGCTAACGGCGATTTCATGAAGTCGCTGGCTTAAGCGAGGGGAATGGCTGTCCTCGCAGTGGCCTTTCGGGTGTGTGTGTGTGTGCGTGCTTCCATTGATGAGAACAGCTCGGGCAAAGCTTGTTGAAGGGCGAGCCACCTCATACATCACGCTTGCGATCCTGTGCACGGTGGCAAAATGAGGGATTTGGTGGCCCACTCCCACCTCACCTCAAATATGAGCCGGCATCACACACATTGAAGCTTCTCTACTCCCCCCCGGCATGTTTCGCCATCGGTTTGACCCGATGGGATCATCAACTGACCTTGTATGACAGCAGCCTGAAACCAATTTTTTGCAGATCTAGCTCAATGGACTGCATTCTGATAAATACTGCGTTTGTGGAATCTGATTTTAGTTGCGAAATCCATTAATGGGGTAATGGTTTACCCGCCGGACTTCGGTTCTCACTCCGTGACTGGGTGGGGCTTTTAATTGATTGGCGAACAGGTGAATTAACAGTCGACAAAATGGACGGATTGATGATGACTGCATTAAAATATATTGTTTCAGAAGCATCAAGATTTCCAGCCGAGGCATGTGAACCAAACGGCGGGAGGGCGGTGGCCATCGATGATAAGTGCGCAAGTAGCAGAGTGTGATTAATCAGGGACAGCTAAAGCCTAATTCAAGCCCCAATCAATTAGTTCAAGGCTCATTATCTAGTCGACACGCTACCTGGAGAGCACTGAAGCCACTCGCTCGGTGTGGACAGAGTTGTAGGATGCCACACACACACACACAACGTTGGGCCAATTGCGCATTCGGATGAAAATATGTGACTATAAGGAAGGTTTCATATTCAAATGTGTGCCTAAGTGGGGAGAATGAAGAGCCTCAGGGCTTCGCTTTACATTTACAAGAAGACTACGGATTAAAGTGGTGGTGCAAGCCAATTACACCTCGCCGGACCTGCGCTGACATCGAAAGAGCAAAAAAAAAAAATAATAAGACTGCAGAATGAAGATGAAGGAGGCTTAGGGAGCTCAGTCGCAGAGAAAAGGCCGACGACGACAGACGGCAAAAGGACGGCGAAGGAGAGATTGTCTCCGAGGTGCGAGGGTGCGCGGGGTGGGGTGGGGTTGAGGCGATTGTACGGATGGATGCGACGCAAACGAAGGTGTTAAGAAGAGAAAGAGAGCAGGGTGGGGTTGGGGGGCGGATTGGATTTATCAGAGGCGAGAGGAATCCAATGTCAGACACCTCCCCGGGGGAAAAAAGCTGAGACGCTTAGGTGACGACGTGCGACGACTCCGAGCGCCGCAACTGCGCGGAAACCTTGGGGTGCGAGAGCAAGAAAGCACGCCAAGGTCGAGGCCGAGTCAACAAAACACTCCAGTTGACTAATAAAAGGCAACCTACTGCACTGTTTGGCCTTAATTGCTCGGTGTTGCTAACACGACATCAACAATAACTCATCTGAGTGTTTTCTCCACCGACACACTTGCACAATGCTGTTGGCAAATTCCCAAAAAACAAAATCACCAATTTGGCATTTTCATTTTTCCCCCCCCCCCCAAAATTAAATTTTTAAAAAATGAAATAATGAATTGAAAATGAAATCCTGGTCAATTACTGGGAGGCGCCCAGTGCGACATATTGGTTCTTGCAACTTTTGGGAAGTTCTACTCATAACAGGAATGCCTACCAAAAGTTTTGTTGCAAAGTTGAAGTGGCTTTTGAGGGCAGAAAAAAACCCCACCATGTCAAGACTTATTACAAAACGTTTGTGTTTTGTGAGGTTGATCCAAACTTAATCGCCAAGCTGTCCGTACACGCTATGACAAAAACTAAATTCCTTTGCAAATTAGCGTCCCGCATCCATCTGGTTTCAATTTTGGTGGCAAGTGGGCAAAACCTCTCGGTCAAATTTGCTTTTAAAGAACTTACTGCTTGCGGGGTAGATGAAAAACAACAACAACAAAAACCGCGAACAACAGTTTCGCAAAATCATGGCTGTTAACGGCAAATCAATTTTTTTTTTTTTAAAAAATCAAAAATGCTCCCTTTCAGGCACAGTTAAGTCCGACATGACGTAAATATTCTATGAAGCCAACCGGGTCAAAGACTGACTAAATAAGCCACGGTCGTGCTCTTTTGCTCAGACAGCGCGGCCTAAGCTAGCCGCTACTCCAAAGTCCAAAGGGTGAATTTTAATCGAGCGAGGACGTGCATAGCACTTAACGAGGTTCTCATTCACTGCAATGTTAAGAGCAGCTCGAGATATTGTCACTGACGATGAATTCCAAGAGTTAAAGGGCTCTCAAATAGGGGTACAACATTTACAAAAGGGGGCAGTGAGTTGCGACTCGTGTATGGTTAAAAACTCAGGTTTCGAACACAATTCGTTCCGTGACCCCGTTTGTCACTCAAAGACGGAATTCTTTTCCCACTGAAATGAACATGCAAGTCAGCTCATGTCCTGTTGCTATAAATACGCTTCAATATGTTTCTTAACAGCAAGTGATTTATGGTGACTCTCATCGATACGTGACATTTGTTCCTTAGTCGAAAAGTACAAGCGATAATCGCATCAAACTGTTATGGAGGGGCTAGCAGCTGCCCTTAAGATGAAAAGAAGGTATATATTTTTTTATTTTTACGACCTGACCTTCTCACATCAGCATCCTCATCCCCCCCCACCACCTCGCGTCTGTTAATGAGCAACATCCCAATGCGAGTCCATCACAGACTCATTACAGGAAGGCCGCCCAGGCTGTGTTTTAATAAACAGACCAAGACGGCGAGCTTACGCGTAAACACGCGCAACCTTGAGGAGGCCAAATTATTTTGGCCCAAATAAATCAAGATTTCACAGACCGTAACCTCAGAGCTGGGGGGGAAAACAACTACGGATTAATAACCTTGCAGCATCGAAATTTCTTTCGGTAACATAAGGACGTCTTGTGACTTTATCCTTGTGAGTTTCACAAGTTGTGAAATTAAAATATTAAAACAAATTTAAATTGTTTTTTATGTTTATGAGATTATAACTTTATTCTTGAAAAATTATGCCTTAATTGCTGGTAAAATGTAAAACTTCAAAAACAATTATAGCTGGAAAGGTAACAAAGTATACAGGATGTTTTTTTCTCTGAAAAATTATAGCTTCATTTCTTGTACATTACAAAAAATCATGACAAAACTACTCGTCGACGACGTTTTCATGTACAGGAGCTAATATTCACATTTTTTAAAGATTTTATTTTATTTTTTTAGCTGAATTACAAATAAGATAACAGTGCACGCACCCGACCCACGTGCATGCTGTCCTGTGGTCGCACTGTGCGCAATAAGTCGCGCTTCATTTAAGCCAAATTTCATCCGCACTCTTTTACAAGCGCGGACGCGGCTTGAACCGCCAGGGAAATACAATTCCATTCCATTTGGAGGTTATCTTAATATACGAGCTTGTCTCCGCCACGCTGCACGGCAGTTACGAGGCGGCCAAACACCCGCAGCATGGCAATATCACTCGGGCGCCTTTTCAGCACACAAAGCAATTAGCAGACTGACTGACTGAGTGTGTGTGCGTGTGTGCGCGTGTGTGTGTGTGTGTGTGTGTCTTTTCCCCCACTAATATCAGCATCCGATGTTATTAGCACACTGTTCACTGTGGATTACTGTTTGTTTGTTTGTTTGTGCCTTGCTCCCCTAATCGCTATGACAATCCTCAAGCAAAGGGATGAAGCGCCACAAAATGGCGTCTGCAAGCAGGTTCAGTATGGCCTCTAAATCAGTCAGGATTAAAAAATAAATTTAAAAAATGTATAACTCACTCGGTCGTGACAAATGGAGTCCGATCGAGACCGATCTCCCCGCGTTGGCGCGCCTTGGCTCGCTATCTGTCGCCGCCTCTGTGACGGCCGATCGCTCTTCACGCCGCTATCCATCCGCCCCGGAGGCCCGAGCACCCTTCACCTGTCAAATTGCGAGAGGATGACTGGGGTTAGCGTGACGGATGTGTGGGCCACGTATCTGTAATAGTCTCTCACTCTGAGGATGATAAATAGACTTGAAATTGTAACATTTAGTCATTCCACATAGCAGGCAAAATCGCTACACGATGTGGCGTCTAATGCGTTCGGTGAACAAGATGGTCACTCAATTTGCTCGCCTTCCATGTTTAATTTGCTCCATAAGCACTGGAAATGAAAACATCCAAATTCTTTCCCAATTGCAATGCCATTAATCCGTTGTATTGACAACTTGCTTTTTCTGGCGTGTGCCTTGGCCGTTAGGGGGCAGTACAACGTCTATTCCTGTAAAATAATGCTTTGAATGAAATTTGCTTTATTTCTTGTACTACTACAAATCAGGGTTATAAAGTCTCCTGTTTAATTACACCGATAAAGAAACGTCTCAACACCACAGTGTACAGTTTGCCCACACTCAATTCAAAGCAATTGACCTGGTGCACAAATAGACATTCTATTAGCAGCAAGGCAGGAGTCTTTGACCTTATCAACAGAAATGTCATTGCTTCATCCTATTGGGCAAAAAAACAACAACAAATATGGAATAATTCTGAGTAAATGTGTAAAAAAAAAAAAAAAAAGTCGACCTTTTGAAAATCTCATCCATTCATCCTTTTTAATTTTCATATAAATTTCCTCATATAGGTATTTGGGCAATATGTGAACAAATATAAATAAGTGTATCTGTAAGTCCATCTCTAGTAAAAGCACAGTGGAATCTTGTTTAACAATCCACACTTTTGAGAAACAGATTAAATTCGGAAACCAAGGTTCACTGTAGTTTAATGGATTGAAATCGCTTAATATAAAAACAATCAAACGTGCGCTTAAAAAAATACTTTTCAACATGTTGTTGTTAAATGCAGATAAAATATGAAACGTAATGTTGAAGGTAGACTTTCCGAGCATTTATGAGTTTAGGCTGGGTTTTAAAAAAGTGGACAGTATACTTAAGTTTGGTCTACTCTGTGTATTAATGAATGCGAAGAATTGACTTGATAAACTTTGCATAAAGGCGGTTAATCTCGTTCGGTCCATTTCCTTGCGATTTTTTTTTTTTTTTGCAGCATTTACGGAACAGCACCGCACATTATTCACAACACACCACAATGTAAACAGGCTGACATTTTTCCATCGACACGCTGTATTAGCACGGTCCGAGCCAAACCTAAAGTCTGCCAAACGTCACACATTAGCAACCTATGTAACTGATATATTTTCTAAATATCATTTAACTGTATGTTTTTTGGTTGAAACGTTTACCTGGTGAAAGAAAACGTTTGGAAGACCGGCTCAATTGAGTGCAGGGACAATTCGGTTCTTTTTATCAGTCACGTTTGTCACAGAAAGTGAACGTAGCGCCCCCTGTTGACAATAGCATGCTCCACACTTGGAGAATCAGGACAATTACGTTTCTCTGTCGGAGGGTATATGGTTTGGAGTCAAATAAAATGTAAATCAGAGATTATTAATCATACTATGAATAAAATAAAGCATTCGTTGTTTCTTGATTATTTAAAAATGTATTTGTGGCTCTTGAGCACAACTTTGTCCACCCCTTTTGTAGTCTATCCTCGGTCCCGCTTGGAAAAAAAGTAAACGCCTAAAAATAACTGGATAAATAAAGACGACCAATATTTCACAGTTCTGCCCCCCAACCCAAAAAAAAAACTGTCAAATCTGAGATCTTGACCCCTCCACCCCCCAAAAAAAATATCTAATCTGCCCAAAAAAAAAGCTCTTTCTCCTCCTCTTCCTTCACAATGAGACAGGGGGCTCGTCACGCCGCCGGCCCAGCGCCTCAAGTGAATGATGGGGAGCTGAGGCGAGGAGGAGAGAGGCAGCGACAGGCTTGTACAGCATGCAAAACAAGGCTGGTGCGTGCACACACACACGCACACGCTCACACACACACGCTCACACACACACACACACACACACACACACACACACACACACACACACACACGTGTTGACTATCAAATTCACATTCTATCTAGTGTGTGAGGAAGGTCAGACAGACAGACAGTCTGACTCAAGTTAACAAAGCGTCGGTCCAAAAGATAGTATCACGATACAGTGATAACGTTGTATAATCCATTCTTTCTATTGTGAGTTTATTTAATAAGGATAGGAATCGCAGAGGACCTGACATTACAATTTATTTTCCTCCGATAGAGACAGTATCATCATACAGCCATGACGTGACAACCATCATTTGGTGGAAGGAAAAACATCCACCACACATCACAATATCTCTTAAAGGATGATACGTAGTGCACAATATGATATTTTTTAAAGAATAACAGGAATCGCAAAATGGTGGTTACATGATAGCTGATAAACTGAATGAAAAGCATCACGATATCTCGTAATGGTACAATATTATCACAATTTTCTGTGTACATTTTTGGGACTAACTTATAAGAATAGTAATTATTATTATCATCTTCATCATAATCATCATTATTAAATTAAAACCGTATTTTCCTAACGATACCGATACAGTACCTGATACCGCGATACATACAGCCGACGATACATTTTTAACAAGAACGCAGGAGACAAATAGATAAAGCATCTTTGGAAATGTCCATCTGCGCGATACACTCAGGCTTACTCATCGATACCAGCTGGCCGAGGCGCTATTGACTTGGCACGCACGATAACACTACGCGCAGCAACAAGTCGGCCGGTTTGTGATTCATCCCTGTAGCACACGGCCTCATGTCGTGTGACATCATCGACAAAAGTACTGAGCGTCAGGAACATAGGAAGGAAAAAACTTGTGTTGCTTTTAAACATTTTTATGAGGAACTTTTTTTTGCATGTAGATGAGAATTAACATTTTTGCAAGCCGAGTGTTCAGACTAGAATTATGTTTATACGAGTGTGGCTGCATTAGATACATACTGTACATAACATTTTTGACTTGACTTCCCCTTTAAACAGACATAATTGCATAAAGCATCACTCAAGAGCAAATTAAAACAAACATGTTTTTGAAATTGCCAAAAAAGTTGTGAAATCTCTCACTTAATTGCAATTTTGTTTTTAACAGACTACAGAATGATCACTCCACATAAAAGTCAACTGGCTCCAAATCACGCCTAACCTTAAAAAAGATAATCTGCGTGGAAAATGAATGGATGGAAACCAAAATGGCTCTACTTCAGCGCATTCGGTTTCCGGCTTTTGAAAGAAAGCTTTCGAAGCTTTGAGAAAAAGTATAAAGTAGTGAGTCCACATAAATATTTGCTCATTACTGTATTTGATGAAAGCGCATATCAATACCCATACAAAATCGATATGTGGATCGATCCGCCTGGAGCTACTGTGAAGCACACGCATTGTGCATTATTTGAGGAACTGCTGATGCATCACGCTCGCGGCGGTGTTCTTTTCGGCATCCGCCAGGCGACTCCCGCGGTGCTGGTCACCGTCCCGACGCCCTCGGGGTGCTGGACTGCGCACCGCCGGGCTGGCCTTTAGTGACATTTGTCATGTTTATCCAGTGTAAGCAAACAACAGTGCTTGTGTACGTGTGTGTCTTTTGACCTCTGTTCAGCGGGAATAATGAGAAGCAGAAAAGGGGGCCTCCTCAAAGGCCAAACACAGATTCCTATGAAGACACAATTGTTCTATTGTTCACAATTTTTCTATACAGTGACCCCTCTCTAACCTCCTGCTGTTTTGTGGTTCACTATTCACAAATTCACCTATTCATGGTTTTTTTCTGTATAGATTTTTTTGTCCTCTGTGAGAAACAACTACTGTAGATTCTCAAGAATAACAAAAAAAATAAATAAATAATCCCAACTCCAGACTCAAAATGGACCTATTCCAGACTGCTGATTCGGGGCAGTGGGGCAGGCTGGAACGAATTAATGGTACTCCCATTCATTTTCATTGGGGAAAGATGATTTGAGTATGCGTGAACTTCTCAGTGTGGTCACAAAAAACAAACAAACTTGTATTTCCAGGCATCACTCTAGTAATTGGTGTCAAGGAAGTCTGTCTCTACTGAGAGTTTGAATGTTGATGAGGAATTAAGATTATCTTGGGTTGATAGTGGAAGTTGTGGAGAATCATATTCATGCGCACGTGCACATGCAAATCCAGGACATTAAAAAAAAAAAAATTCCCAAAAGGCATTTATTTTTAAGGGTTATGTTGTCAGACGAGTTTGAAATGATATTCAAGTGATTTGGGTTCCAAAGTTAATGGTATAATTATGGTTGCAATTATAAACATTTTGCAGGGGGCGTCAATTACCTGCTATTTGCGGCAAGGCTTGCTCCCTCTCCCTCACTTACTGTATTTGTCCTCCAACAATGATTTTGTCTTTGTTGATCTCATTGCCGGCGATCGTCTGGATGACGCTTTCGCTGGGGCTTGCCGGTTCCCCCGTGGCCAATTTCGCCGCCACAAATTAAACTGTCATAACGGCCATAACGACAATTAATGAGCGGGATCAGGCGCTGGAATCTGCATGTGCGAGCACCTTCAGGCTCTCAAGCAGAGAGCGGGAGCGTGTGATTTTTGATGATCAATTCAGCCTTTTGGTAACACGGTGTGACTGTGGTGATCGCAGCTGTCTCCAGGCAACAAAGACATGTCCGTTCGGGTCAAAGACAGCACTTTTCCTTTGGTGTTGACAAATTGATCGAACCGTTTGGGAGACTAAAATTGGATTATCTGTTCACAAAAAAAAAAAATTGTTGTTCTACAGTATATACATTCGCGTAGCACTGCCGATGCCATCTTGAACGGCGCCTTTTGCGACAACCGCAAGCAGCATTCATATGACATGCACAAAGGCGGCTACATGAGTACGTCGACGCCGCAGCCATGTTGGATGTGGCAAAGTGAAGCAAATGGTGAATATGCTTCCTCCTTGGGGATATATCATCAAGCTTGAAGACCCTGAATTTGTTTCATGTTCACCCAAAAAAATCTTGTACATTAGGGGTCACTCATGTTCAACATTGTCATTTTTACACAACTGTACATTAGGTCCATTGTACATTCTGAACAGTGTTTGATGTTCATGAAGGAAATATGTCCTTCAGTGTTTACAAATAACGGTTTGGTTCGTCAAAGGCGCTAATTTGTTTTTGCTGGTTAGAAAAACATGACTAATCATCTTTACTTTTGACACAGTGAAATGAATGTTGAGTCAGACTTGCCTTTGATGTTTCCAAAAACGTGGACGCTACCCTGTACACCAAAAAATAGAATTGTCTTTGATGTTGAACAAATTAACTCAGTGTGCTAGTATGATAGCAACTACACTTTCACTGGTTCCCAAACACTATAATTGACTTTCAAAAGACTCAAAAATCCTCTTTCGATTCTTTTAAAACTCAACATTGTCTTGGATGTTTGGGGGGGGGGAAACATGGCCATTGATTCTAACTCCCTGTAACGGATAAAAAGTTGCCTTTTCCTTCTTTCCAGTTGAGCTGCACAACACCGCCGCTGACAGGAGTACAACTAAGTTGAGCATTAGCCGGAATGGTGATTAACGCGAGGTGTACTGTAATGCTAAATGGCTCCGTAGAACATGGCGAAGACACACTCTGATCGCGGGATTTAATTAGATTTCCTCCGGAGACAAAAATGGCTCCCCCTGAAAATTAATGACTTCCTTTTATGGTGCAACGTGTGTGTGTGTGTGTGTGTGTGTGTGTGTGTGTGTGTGTGTGTGTGTGTGTGTGTGTGTGTGTGTGTGTGTGTGTGTGTGTGTGTGGGAGAAGACGTTTGCCCAAGTGACTCCTTGTGAAGACGAATGATATCAGCACATCGCCACTTGATGAAGTCTACGTTGTGTTAGGTAAGAGAGGTGGCAGAGCGTCACATACGTGCATGTCACAAGGTCTCAAGTCGTCACCTTTATGTTTCATGCGAGTCCCAAGTTACCGGCGAAAAGAAAGTCCATTCAAGTTGCCGCAAAATTTCAAGCAAGTTATCATACAGTCTTGCAAGTCTTTAAATGTTTTTTCACTCATAATAACAAAATAATTGATTTACACTGGAATTCCAACGACTCTGCAGATGATTGCATGACTGTATCCAGAATTTGCATTCATCTGGAGTATTTTCCCATAACATCGAATTACACCTTGAAAGGTGTTTTTAATGTTTTGCTCTTTTCAAGTATGCTAAACGAGGCCACCAAAAGAAAAGGAACAGCAGCCCACTGCAAATTGCAACGATAATAGGATGTATCACTTTCTTTTTATACCCGAAAAAGGCAGAGATTTTTTACTAGATCTCATGAAATGGCACACCTGAGAGCTTGCCAGCTTCTGCCTGTGGGTTGTCAGCCATCTTGTCCAGGTTGCGGGGCGTCGTCGGCATTCTGGACATCTGGCTCCTCGTCATTTGTCTGGACGACACACACGCACACACCTGCGCCCATAAAGTTGGCAAAGTCAGGAGGGACGGCGTGGGTACAGAGATGGAAGTTATGAATTCGGACTGCCCCTGAAGGCAACACTGGAGTCGATTGTATTGGATGGATGGATGGAAACAACACGGAGATTTGGAACTATCAGTCGGCTGCGTGAGGAAATTCAATTTCGGACTGGGCCTGAAGGCTACACCTGATTCGGTTGGATGAATGGATGGCTTCATACGGCTCGTACTGTTCCTGAAGGCTACGTGCCAGACTCAATTAGATGGATGCACGGATAGGACGACGGCTGTCATGCTGTGAAGGCAACATCTGACTGAACAGCACACTTGCTACAAACTCAAGTCTGTCCTCGAAGGTTACAGCTGCTCAAAGAAACAGAAAGTCAAGCCACATTTTTACATGATGAAAAATGTCACTTGCTGTTTATGCAGAGCCATCAACTTGCTCAGGGACAAGCCACGGGGCAGCCTGGTGAACAGTCGCAACACGTCGCCTGCCCGGGCCAGAACGACATTCTATTACATTTATTTGATTCTTTCCAGATGAGCGGCACGAGAGCGAATCCCGCCGAGTCGGCTTTATCTGCACTAACCCGCAAACCTCCCCGGCGAGCGCCTGGCGGGCACAACAAAAGCGCTAAAGCAATTATGACGGCGCTTTATCGTCTCCACGGTGACCGGCAGCGGGTCGGTCGGTCGCCCCCCCCCCCCGTGCACAGGCGGCTTAGCGCACGTAAACACGGCGACATAATGGCGGCAGAGTCTGAGGAGGAGTTAGGAGGAGTTGGGCCTTTTTTTTTTTTTGCAGATAAAACAGCGGCTTTGGGTTGTCGCTCCGGCCACCAAACAATGCAAAACAAATATGGAGATGATTTGGCCAGATAACTGGGAGTTTCGTTCAATTTTCTTGTATCAACTCGGAGGTTGTGAAGTCTGCTCGCAGCCAAACATTTTTTTTTTACAGCAGATGGAAGATGAGTGGCGATAAACACTCGGCCTTAAAAGCCTCACTGAGTAGCACAAGGCTGACGACAACAAAGAGGAAAAGATGTGTTTGCCTCTAAATCGTCCGACGTTTACAAATTGTCGTCAAAGACGATATTGTCTTTGATATTGTCTTTGATGTTCAAAACAAATTTGCCTGTGATCTTCACAAAAACATGTATGTTGTTTGAAGCCCTTGTTTGTCTTTAATGTTTGTAAAACATATAGTGTATGTTGTTTGAAGACTAAGTTGCCTTTGCTGAAGTTACATTCATTGAAGATCTTTTCATGACCCTGCAATGTCACAGCCTTTGGAAAATTCCACTCTGAGATGACCAGGATGTGACTAAAAACTTTCAAACTCGTCTTTAAATGTGAGCAGGTGTGAGTTTCCCCCACGGTCTTGCTCATAGCTTCGCATGTACAGCTAACTTTAGATGTTTCAAATCATTGACATTAACCCTTTCAGGCACAGCGGTCACGACAGTGATGTTATCAGGTTATCATTATTGGGGCATGAAAGGGTTAAGTTCAGTGACACTTCTCAATAATCGTTGATGTTTTCAAAAACACATACACAGGTCACAGTCACAAAATGTTTCCTAAAACATAAGCTTGGTTCACCGCAGAGTAAAATTGTCACTGGCATTCCCAAGAATACCGACTCAGTTCACTGGAGACAAAACTGCAGTTGATGTTGCAGGGCGTTTTTGTAACTTTGGTATTTTTCCAAAACCCTTCACACAAATGAGAACACTTTTCACCAAAATGCCAAAACATAGTTCTCTTGCAAAAAAAAAAAAAAAAACATAAAAAGTCTTCTTAGACTTTTAAAACCTTTGTAAAAATTGTATTTTTGTATCAAACTATGAACACAAGCCTCCTTCACCTTCATGTCTTCTTCCTCGGCCTCTTCTAATTCTCCCTCCACTGTGCCCCGCACCCAACGTCTTACCTGTGGCTTATTTAAGGTGCTCGGACTGATTGCAAAGTGAACTAATTATCGAAAACAGTTTTCACCTGTTGGCAGAATCGTGTGAATACGAGCCGGAAATGGTGGATTGTTTTGCGGGGCGCGTGTGTTGATCATTTGGAAACTGATTGAAAAGCAGTGAGCTGTGCTTGACGAAATTACAAACTCACTACAAAGCAGCGGTTGTGCTGTTAGTTTTGTAAACTCTATGAGTGGTAGATATGAAAGGTTTTATGAATTGTGCTACATGAAAGTCAAAACCAGACAAAAAAGTCTTTGAAGTTTACAACACACTTTAGGTTGACTGGTGACTCAAATTGTTTCCAAAGTCATACATTTATGGTCTATTTTTTATTTATTTACATGTTTCACCTCCTTTCAAATAGACCTTCAAAAAAAAAAAAAAAAACTATTTCCCGCAGTTGTATAAAAAGTAGGTCCCTGAGCCACAAGAACACACTACTTGCTTTTGTTTGGTCGCGTTAAACAACACCAAAGCTTCCATTTGACGTCGGTTGTTGCCTTCGGGGACTGCCTGAAATCATGAACGAAGGAGGTGGCGTCACACCGCGACGAAATGGCATCGCGATCGAGTCTCATAAAAGGCAACAATCGTGTTGGAGCTGCAGAGCAGGCCTCGATGAGACACGGGGCTTTATGAGCTCATTATTTATACCGATCATTGCCCGACGACCGATCAGCCGTCGAGCTGCCTTCCTTCGGCGTCATATTGGGACACGGCTGGCCGGGCTCGCTGTCTGTCTTTCTGATGAAGACGCCCACTTAAACAGCAATTAAGATGCATTTCCCGGGCCCGCCGTATTAAAAT